GGAAAGTGGGTATAGAGTAGACATGTAGAACTAGATAAGCTTATGATAAGCCAGCCTTGTCTACTTATTAAGGAAAAGTGGGAGGTTATTTTTAATGAACAGTAGCTTCTCTGCTTTATCAGCCATAAGTCTGTTCCTCTTCTCATCAAGCACATGAGAGGCAGCGCTGAACAGTCTCTCGCTGTCAGTGCTTGTGATTTGATCTTACTCCGCATATTTGTCCGGGTGTTTTGATTTCAAGTGGTGGAGTAATCCCGAAGTGGTGAAAGTCTTTGCAGTTACACCCCCTCGAGAAATGTCAGCTGAACACGTTTTACAAATCGCAATCCGCGCCTCTGTCGCTGATATTTTTAAATATCTCCAAGCGCCAGACATGTTGGCTGTGAGCCAGCCGCGAGCATGGTCGCGCGCCGTGCTTGTCGCCGCGTTTTGATTACGTCATCACAACAACACGTTAGCTTACCAACGTAACCCTGTTCCCTGACATTCGGTGATATTTTTTCGGTGCTGCCTTTTTAACCATTTTCGGCCGATAATTTTCGGCGGCCGAATATTCGGTGCATCCCTAACAATCATGGTATAAAAGCAATAAATTGTTCATATTTCGATAGTTGTGTAAAAGCATCAAAGAGCATCCATATGGATTCAACAAGTTAGCTTGCACTTCCTGTTTGAACAGAAACTTTTCTTCACAGCATGTTAAAGTGTAGGAGTTCATTTTAGATTTCGGGAAGTTGCTTGTGTAATACACTTCGAAATCTGAACTTAGGAAAGAACATTGAGTGCTCATCTGTAATAGCTTTTTCCTTACCTTAATTACCATGGTTACCAAACATTAATGTGAGGTCTCTGCATGTTAAAGTCTCTTTAAAAAGGCTCCTGTCATAATATGACTTCAAAACTGCAATTAACTCCAGAATGCTTCAAATAAATCTGAATTTTTTTTTTTACAAAGAAGAGGATTTTGCTTTGGAATATAAATAAATAAATACAAACAAATATATGTCATCAACACTCAAGAAACACTGTTTGGTTATTAAATTAAACAAATAACCATATTGTATCAGTGTAATTGAAAGTAACTTCTATAAGAACCTCTCATAACGATAGTTACGGCTGTAACTACGGTTCTATGAGTCCTGGATGACCACCAGAGGCGGTGCTTTAGCACTGGATATGTCCATCGCACGCATGCGTAGTTCGAGTACCTAATAACAACAAAGTCACCTGTGACCCACGTGACGACGGCTACATAGGCCGGCGTCATTAGCGGATCGGCTCCCAGAATCTTCTCGCGAGCACACAAGAATTCTGAGTGACAGGAAACTCTGGCGGTCATCCGGGACTCATAGAACGATAGTTACAGCCGTAACTATCGTTCTATTTCGTCCCTACTGACCGCCAGAGGCGGTGCTTTAGCACTGGATGACCTATACCAACCATGTCATGAAGAATCCAAGCCCTTGCTCACTACTGGAAGCAGCGGAGCTCGGCAAAAGGACCACGCCCAAAGAATGGGGAGTGGCGACATTAACCTGATAACTGGAGAATGTGCCAGAAGATGTCCACGACGCGCAGATGGTCTCCAGGGGCACCACTCTCAGGGCAGCCCAAGATGTTGAGATGCTCCTTGTAGAGTGGCATCTCAGCCCTGATGGCAGGGGGCGGCCACTGGCCCCGTAGGCATGTGAGATGGTATCGACAACCCAGTGGGGCAGCCGCTGGTTAGAGGGCATAACCTCCTTTAGTGCCGCCATGGCAAAATCAAGAGTTGCTCCTACTGCCGTATACAGGCAGTAGCCTCGATATACGCCCTTTGTGCACCCACAGGGCACCCACAGGGCACAGCAACTTCGACGTGCCGTTCTCCTGAATGTGAAAGCGTGCCAGCTGGGCAGGCTGATTGAAGTGGGTTTGTGGAAGCATTAATCATTAATATTGTATGCTGAAAAGCAAATATATATATATTACAGCACGATTCTTTGTTGAATAGATTTGAGTGGTTCAAAATTTTGGGTCGCGATCTATTGACAAAGGAAAAAGTGGGTCCAGAGGCCTGACCAGTTGAGAACCACTGCTCTAGACCAACCCACTCTGTTTTTATGTTACAATTTCTTATTATTAAATATTGATCATGTTTATAATGTTTTACTTTCCCAATTCGATTTTATAAATGTGTTTTAATGTTGTATGTATTCTTTTTTAATTGGATTTAATTATGTTTAGTTGTTGAGCACATTTTGGAAATATTAAATGCACACTATCATAAAACAAAGAAAATGTGTGAACTACATCTGAAAAAACTACAAAATATATATCCCTAAAGTATATTTCAATTGTATCAGTGCACTACGCTGATACAATATCATATATGGTTGTCAAACATCTTATGAACTGGCTTTTCTGAGAGGAATATTTGCAGCCTTCACATTTACTCACCCATCAGTTGCTCTTGCAGCTTCTTCTTCTCTGGATTCTCCCCCTCGCTGTCACTATCACTCCTACAGACACACAGAGGTGAATCAAACACAGTGGATCACACAGATTTGAACATGTTTCAGGGCAGGAAGCATACACACTTGTCATTGCTCTGAGCCTCCTTGACGGGCTTCTTGCCCTGCTTGTCTTTATTCTTCAGATAGTCTTTGAGTTTCTCCGCTCGGTCCAGGTACTGCATACACTTTGCTCGTATGCTCTCCTTTGCCTTGTCACTGTGGGCCTCATCTGAGGAAATGACAACAATAATGTGAATGAAACATTGTAACAACAGAAGGGTATCAAGCCAATTAAAGTGTTCTTCCGGCTGCTTTACTCACATTTGATGGCATGTAGGAAATATTCCACAGCATGCTGGTACAGTCGCAAGGCCTCCTCATAATTCTTCGCCTTGTCTTCCTCTGTGGCTTTGGTCACAAGATCAATCGCTTTCTGGAACAGATGGACAGAAATACAGTCAAAGGACAGATGTAGGCCTCACATGGGTTGGGGTGGACACATAAATAAAGGAAAGGAACACAGTGTCATTCTCACACCCGCCTGCACATTCAACACTGGAGCTTCAACTGAACAAAGCACAATATATACAACAGTCTCTCTCTCATTCTACAAAAATAACCCACTATTCCTCACCTGATCTGTGGTATGGCTTTTGTTTTTACCTTCTTTAGAACCCATAAACCACCAGTGGCTTTGACATAAATTAGCAATCCACAATTTAAAACCCCTTCCTATGATTAATAATAGTATTATTGTATAGTAGTTAGCTGGTACAGTAACGTTAACGTTTGAGGTTTTTAAGGCTCATGTTTTCGAACAAATTAATGGAGGAACTGTTAACTGAAGGAACTGTTAACTGAAGGCTCAGTTAACTACACCCACAACATCAGCGGGCATTAGCGTCAGCTGTTTTGCTAGAAGGTTAGCTTACATTGAAGTATTGTATTGATGTCCAGTGCAAGGTAACTGTACTGGCTAACGGTACCTGTAATGTTGACGTTGTCATTTCATCCCCCTCTTGTGCTCGCCTCTCACGTTTCTATCCTCTTGCTCCAAAGGCAGATATGTGAATACATGAATTCGTTAACAGCACTGTGTTGTGTCGGTACCGACTGTTCTTTACATGACATAATACGTTAGCTTGCTAAGCTAATATGACAGCTCTACTGTACATCGGCCCGACACAACCACAAGCTAGCTGATGGAGACAACTTCCGGTTACACCTTATCAAATACAACTTTAAATGACTTATGTACTAAAATATCACACATTCACCAACCACATCAACATAAACATTTTATGGATAAGGTGTTGCTAATTGTAATTTCATTACATTTTTATAATTTGACATTATTAATCATTTATATATTTTACTGCTAAATAACAAATTCAGAAAATGGCAAATACATTATGCCAGCCTACATATATATTTACCTTACAAATACCTATATATATATATATATATATATATATATATATGTACTCTATACATTAATAGTTGTTGAGCAAATTTTTTCAATATTACATACACATTTACAAATAACAAAGAAAATGTGTGAAATATATCCGAAAATGCTACACAATATATAGGCTATATATCCCACAATCATGTAGATTTCTCTAGTTTCAGATGTTGATACATTCTCAGCTTCTTGTTAACGGTTCACAGCCTGTAGTCCACAAGATGGGAGCAGAGCTCCTAACAAAGGTGTAGTTCTGGTGGAAATGTAATCACCAGAATCATCCTAACACAATTTAAAAGCATAATATTGAGATTTGTATACGTTTTATAACTTTTTTTGTGTGTACAGCATTCAAAAACTTGCACTTGCAAGACCTTATGAAAACATAGAGCTAAAAGATATTAAAAAAATGTAATACATGTTGAGATGTCATTTCTCAATGGATATCACTTCTGGTCAGCTGTGAATTCGTCAGTGTTTATCTAACACTTTGGAGGATAATAACATGGAAACAGGAAAATTAAAGGTGAAATGCATCAATCTGGTGCACTTTGAGGGCAAAATAAGAGACTAAATCTAGAGGACACAACCCTTGGTGATTGTTAGTTGTGACTTTGCTGGTGCTCTTGCACCTTTGTCTGGGCTTTAAAAAACATGTGCACCCAAACCCAGTAAAACAATCAATAAGTAAAATGACATGTTAATATTGAATAAATTATAAATCTAAAACCAATGTCCAAACAATAAAAACAAACCACACAGTCTGTAATTTGTAACAGTTTTATTGGTAGTTTTTTTTACATTTGTGATTATTACATTGCTATCATACATTATAGGCTATTAAGTATCTTGGAAGGAAGTCTAAAATACTTTGCATATGAAGGGTTGAGGCAGCAGCACTTTATTCTGCCGAGACCCCTCAGTTCAATGATTGTGTTGGAATCAAGCTGCCACAAAAACTACCTTTGGTTCAAAACCCTTTCTTTGAAGCGTTGCATTGCATAGACAGGAGCCACAATCACAGAAAGGAGGTGAACATCATTATGTGGAAGCAGAGGAGAGGTGTACATTCACAGATTTAGTGCACCGAGTTTAAAGAGGGACGGCCTGTCGCTTGTTGAAGGTTGACCAACTTAAGACAATCAGATCTGTGCGGTGTGTTAGAGGACAGTACTAACATGGAGTAAAAGGTGTGGTGGGGAAGGATGGAGAGCAACACAGGAACAACACTTTCTGTCAGGCCGGATCTAACTGGAACACATGAGGGGAAGTGAAGCCTGCCAGTCTTTAGCACAGCCGACACTAAAGAAACCAAAACGTTGACTTTAATTCAATGTATTATGTCAACAGATTTACAAGGTTAAAAAGCAATAATATTAAGTTGAACTTATTTAAACTTAATATTATTGCCTTCACTAACTTAATACAGTTATGTGAAATCTGTTGACATAATGCATTTTATTAATGTCAATGTTTCAGTTTGTTTTATGCATTTACTATAGAATGAAAAAAGTCTCCAAACCATCACAAGGACACTGTCCCAAACAGAATGAAGGTCGTACAGACTGTGACTGTGTTCCTTATCCGAGGACAGACGGGATATCTGGTTCTGTGTTGCACGATGAGGGGAAACAATGGGACATTGTTAGAGGCCCAAAGAACAGAGGCTCTACTGAAGGGAAGGCTCGCTTCAGGAACACGCACCATGAACAGCTGAAGGTTATGGAAATGTCTACATTACAGTCACGTGGTGCTCATTGACGAGCCAACCTTCATTTGGAGACTGAAGTCATAATTGCTTGGGCATAGTAGATTAGCAAATAAGATTAACCCTAGGTCCATTTAGTGGCTTTAACCAGAGCTTTCAACTGCATCTGATGCTCTTCATCAATCAATTGAATTTGCTCAGTGCTCGTCACATGACTTCACTCACACTCCATCTAAATAACAGCAGTAAATCGGTGCATGCCTAACATCACTTTCTCTCACACCAACTCTGCATTTTTCCAGGCAATAATTGAAAAATGCATACTAAAAAACAGCAAGACCTGAACGAACAGCACCAGGGCCTGAGTTGCTCATGCCACTGAAAGTGACATTTTGGATTTAAGTGAAAGAAAAAAGTAAAACATTTTTCAGGTTTTACTCCTACTAGCAAACAAGGTTTATACTCTTCCACGTGAGAGAGCTAAGTGGTTCAAGGTGGATTTTTGACGGCTGCAGTACATAAACAATAGATCTTTTGGAATAAGCAACATTAAAATATGTTATTAACACATATAATTCTGAATAGGGTTCTTCTAGAATATGCCGGGCATTTATTTCATATGATACAAAAGGTTCTATATTATCTAAACAACAGCAACAGTATTTGTTCTGCTTCAGAAAGTTTGTTTTTCATTGTTTCGAATTCAACTTCCTACTATTTTAACCCTTTTGGATAATATGAAATATTATTATAATAGTATTGTCATTATTAAAAAATTATATATGTCTTTAAAGGATAAGATTCTGTATAAATGCTTTAAATGTAATAAGTTTAGTAAAAGACTAAACAATACAGAAGATTTAAGGTAAATCCTTGTCTTTGATCGGCTGCTCTTTGCAGGGGCGGTTCTAGGGGGGGGGGCTCACAGGGGCCAGTGCCCTTATAACACTGGGCTTGGACCACCCTGTGCCCCGCCTCTGAAAAAAGTATCTATTATAAAACCAATGGTGATGGTGCAAAGACAGTGCTTTAACTTGAGCCAAAGTTACCATGGATGTGTTTTGTTTTCATAAATGCCATTTAATAAAATTGTAACTAAGCTACTGAAACGAATATTATTCATTATAGTTTATGTTGTGTTCCATGTCATGATACTGAACCAAAATGTTGAAATCTTAAACACTCTCTTTGTGTTTTTGTCCTGCATTAAATATACTCTTTAAATAACCGGGCCCAGCATGCCCCCCCCCCCCAGTAAAATTGGTCTAGAACCGCCTCTTTGTATCATTGTGATGATTTCTGTGATCAGCTGATCTTAAAGGTTACTGCTACACTGGAAGCAGATGGATGACAGATGAGGCCATGAAAGCTCCAGAAGAAGGCAAGTCAGTGGACCAAGAGTAAAACATACATTTGTAAAAAACATTTCAGACAGCAAATTAAAAGGAATGTAAAAGAAAGCGTGTGTACACTGACTGCAGTGATTCCTTGGTCAGAGAAACACTGCTTTAGGCAGGTAACAAGGGACCAGGAAACTCAAGAGAAATGGAATGAGATGACAGAGACATGATGTGGCAGCAAAGGTAATAAATGGGGGGGGGGGAACACATGTTCAGATGTCATCATCTGATACAGAGTTTAATGTCATGCTTATCATAAAACTTTAAAAACAACATAAAAACAAAGTGACACGGTTACACTAAGAGTAATACTATAGCTCGGCCATGTGGAAAGCTTCAAACTCTCTCACTGTGTGAATAAAAAATACTTTACAAAGAGTGTAACTACGTGTAGGAAGGCACCGTTGGCACTTGATTACAACAGTAGGTTAGGATAATGTGCTAGAAGGTGCCGTCAGACAGCAGGCACACCGACAACCAACCAAAGGGTGCAGCATAGACACACCC